AGTGTTCCTTCCTCTTGAATTTTTTGTAGTAGTCTGAGGAGGATAGGTTTTAGTTCTTCCTTGAATGTTTGGTAAAACTCCCCTGTGAAGCCATCTGGTCCTGGGCTTTTGTTTGCTGGAAGCTTTGGATAACTGCTTCAATTTCTTCCATAGTTATTGGCCTGTTAAGATTTTTAGATTCTTCCTGATTGAGTTTTGGAATGTTATATTTTTCTAGGAATATGTCCATTTCCTCCAGGTTGTCTAATTTGTGGGAGTAGAGTTGTCCATAGTATTTTTTAACAATCATTTGTATTTCAGTGGGGTCTGTTGTTATTTTGCCTCTATCATTTCTGAATTTGTTTATTTGGGTCCTCCCTCTTTGCTTCTTGGTGAGCCTGGCTAGAGGTTCATCAATCTTGTTTATCCTTTCAAAGAACCAGCTCTTGGTTTCATTGATTTCATGTATTGTTTTATTGGTCTCTATGTCATTTATTTCTGCTCTAATCTTTATTATCTCCTTCCTTGGGCTCACTCTGGGCTTTTCTTGTTGCTCTCTTTCTAATTCTTTGAGATGTAGATTTAGATGATTTACTACCATTTTTTCTTGCCTTTTGAGATAGGCCTGTAGAGCTATAAACTTCCCTCTCAGGACTGCTTTCATTGCGTCCCATAGGTTTTGGATTGTTGTGTTTTCATTGTCATTAGTTTCCAGGATGTTTTTAATTTCTTCTTTGATCTCATTGGTAACCCAATCAATATTTAATAACATGCTATTCAGCTTCCAAGTGTTTGAGTATTTTGGGTTGTTTTTTTTGTAGTTCATTTCTAATATTATGCCATCGTGGTCTGAGAAGATGCTTGGTATGAATTCAATCTTCTTGAATTTGGGGAGACTTTGTTTGTGACCCAATATGTGGTCTATTTTTGAATATGTCCCATGAGCACTTGAGAAGAACATATATTTCGTGGCTTTGGGGAGAAATGTTCTGAAGATGTCAATTAAGTCCATCTGATCTAGTATGTCATTTAGGATTGCTGTTTCTTTGCCAATTTTTTGTCAAGAGGATTTATCCAGTGATGTCAGTGGTGTATTAAAGTTGCCTACTATGATTGTATTTTTGTCGATCTCTCCCTTGATATCTTCCAGCAGTATTTTTATGTATTTGGGTGCTCCTGCATTGGGTGCATATATGTTTATCAGGGTTATATCCTCTTGTTGTATTGATCCCTTTAGTATTATGAAGTGGCCTCCCTTATCTCTTGTTATGGCCTTCACTTTGAGGTCTATTTTGTCTGATATAAGTATTGCTACCCCAGCTTTTTTTTTCATTTCCATTTGCCTGAAAGATATTTTCCCATCCCTTCACTTTCAGTCTGTGTGAGTCCCTTATTCTGAGGTGGGTCTCTTGTAGACAGCAAATGTATGGGTCATTTTTTTTTATCCATTCAGCCACTTGATGTCTTTTGATTGGAGCATTTAGTCCATTTACGTTTAAAGTTATTATAGAAAGGTATTTGTTTGTAGCCATTTCTATTTTTTGTGGCTGTTTTCTTTCTGAGCTTTTTATTTCTTCTTTTTACACCAGTCCCTTTAGCATTTCTTGCATTGCTGGCTTGGTGGTGATAAACTCCCTTAGCCTTTTTTTGTCTGTGAAGCTTCTTATTTCCCCTTCAATTTTGAATGATAGCCTTGCTGGATAGAGTATTCTTGGATTCAGTCCTTTGCTTTGCATCACTTTGTAAATTTCCGTCCATTCTTTTCTGGCCTGATGTGTTTTTGTTGATAATCTAATGGGAGATCCCTTGTATGTAACTTTTCGTCTCTCTCTTGCAGCCTTTAAAATTCTCTCTTTGTCCTGAACATTTGCCATGGTAATTATGAGTCGTTCAGGGGCTGCTCCTTGGGTGGCAGTGGCTCCTCAGGCTGTGGTTGCTCCTCTGGCAGTTGTTGTAGCAGTTGCTCCTCAGTTGGCAGGAGCTCCTGTGGTGGGTGCTGTTCACCACTGTGGTGGCTCCTCTGGCTGGTGGGGGGATTCTTCACACACAGCTGCTGTTCCTCAGACAGAGGATGTGCTGATCACGAGGCTGCTGTTCCTTGTATGGGGCAGGCTACACATGCAGCTGCTACTCCTTGAACTGGGGCAGACTGCTCACGTGGCTGCTGATCCTTAATCGGGGCTGGCTGCACACTGCTGTTGTTCCTCTGATGTGGTGGGCTGCTTGTGGGGCTACTGCTCCTAGGACCAGCTGGTGCTTGTTGGACAGGTGCAGGCTGTTGTGGCTCTGCTCCTCAGACCAGTGCGTGCTGTGTAGAGCTGCCTCTCCTCAGACATAGGAAGACTGCTCATGCGGCTGCTGCTCCTCAAACAGGTCGGACTGCTTGCGTGGTTGCTGCTCTTTGGACAGGGAAGCGGGCTGCTCACACAGCTGCTGCTCCTTGGACAGGGGCAGGCCACATGAGGCTGCTGCTCTTAGGCTCAAGGCAGGCTGCTCTCGGGGCTGATGCTCCCTGGACAAGAGTGTGCCACTCACGTGTCTGTTGCTCACGTGGTTAAAAAAATAATGTGAACAGAAGTAAGAAATAAAGGAACAAACAAAAAAAAAGGAGAACAAAGAAAGAAGAAAGAAAAAAACAAGCAACAAACAACAAAAAAGGGAAAACAAAGAAAAAAGCAAAAAAAAAAAAAAGCTAACAAAATAATAAAAAAATAAAATTGAAAAATTGAAATGTCATTCCTTTGGCTGGCTTAAGATCCCAGTTTTCTGGAATGTCTGTGATTCTGTTGTTGTTGTTGTTGCTGGGACTGAAAGGCCCTCTTTAGGCCACAGGCTGTTAACTCCAAGGGATTAATCAGATTATTTAAATCCTTCATCTCATTCAGGGTGGAATCTGGGTGTGGCTGTATTCCTTGTTTTTAAAATATGAACTTATTTATTTATAAGTAAATATAAATGTATTGTAAAGTATTAATTTTTAAAGAGTGATTCAGAAATTATATAAATTAGTTTACTCTCATGCCTTTGGAATGAAATTAATAACTTAGGGAACCTAGAAAAGTTGTCTATCAATATCAACTCAGCTAACATGACTTACTTCTGAGAAATTGGTAACTGTCTCCCACGAAATTCTCACCTGTATATCTCATCTACATGAGCCATTTTGCCATAAAGTCAGGCTACCTTTCTAAGAATTCTTTAAAAAATCATTTCAGTAGACTCACATGTAGGATTAAAATAATATATTCTTCCAGCTAGTGTGGCTAAGTGGTTGAGCATTGACCTATGAACCAGGAGGTCACAGTTCCAGATAGATTCCTGGTCAGAGCACATGCCAGGCTTAAGGACTCGATCCCCAGAGGGGGGCATGCAGGAGGCAGCTGACCAATAATTCTCTTTCTTTCATCATTGATGTTTCTCTTTCTCTCTCCCTCTCCTTCTCCCTCTCCCTCTCCCTCTCCCTCTCCCTCTCCCTCTCCCTCTCCCTCTCCCTCTCCCTCTCCCACCCTCTATGAAATCAATAAAAATATATTTTAAAAATAATAAAAATATATTCAAACAATAATAATATTGACATGATAAGTGAAATGTAACAGCCCACTTATTAATTACATTTTATTTTCACAATTTTCCACTGTGTTCATCACTCATTTTGTGTAATATAATGATGGGAAAAAGATTGGTGGTGAATTTTAATTGTATATTTTTGTTTCATAATTTCTCAGTATGACATATAAAATGTTTTACAAAATTATTTATGAACTTCTGCATACTTTTGCTCAATTTCATTCTCTTCACTTTTGATTGGCTTTAGATTTGATACTGTGCTGCTGCAGATACAGATTTTCAGTGAATACTTTGTTATATCTTTCTTAAAATGTGGCCTACAGGTTATGCACAATAATTTTACCTAGGGGGTTGCTAATCAAGCAGGATATCACACAAATGGAACAAGACTTCTAAAGAGCATAAACGTTTTGGCATAGAAGCTGTGAGGCGGTGTTCTCATCTAATTTCTGCCAACTTCAAGCTGAGTGTCTTTGCGCAATGCTTCTTCATTATCAAATTAGAGCATCTGACTACACAACCTGAGACACATATTCAAACATACAAAATAATGACTAAAAAGAGGCTACCTAACCTGGGGTGTATAAGATCACTAATTTCTATTAGAATCCTCAAGAAAGGAGGATTGTCACCTGAAGGGAGGATTTTCTTTCCTTAGATACAAAACATGTTTTCTGTGTATATAAATGGTTGACTTGGTCATTTGCCAATAATACTCTTCCAACAAATCTTCTAAAATTAATACTTAGACTCTATCCCTTTCAAGAAGCACCATTTAAAGGCAACACTAAAATAAACGTGTGATATTGGTAATGTGTAATGTATACTTCACATTCTAGAAAGAGTTGTACTGGGTATGAATTACTCAGAATTCCTACCGAGAAAAAAAATGATGAATGGATTGAAGTTGATTGGATTTGTCTCAGGAAGATAAGTTAAACTGATATTGTTGGGATTCTTCAACAATATGAGTGAATGAGAAAGTATACGATCTAGAAGATGGAAATATATTCCTGACAGGAAATTAGAAAACTATTGAGAGGTGATTTGGTGCTAATACGATGGGGTTAATGTATCATCTGCCATTTAATTGGATGGAGACAGTGAATATAAAATTCATCAGTACTTGGAGTTGTGGTTACATTTTTTTATTAATTTCTTTTTTGTGTATTTATTTTATTCATTGTTATTTGATTTTATGAAATTTATTTTATTGAATGTATTATTTTACACATTACTGTTCTTTCACTATCCAAATATTATCTCTACCTCCTTCTCTCCCTCTGTTCCATATTACTTCAAATTCCCTTTCCTTTTAAAATCTAGACATAATAGGTAATCTAGAGGGCCTAGATTTCTCTTTTTCCTTAATAGCACATCAGAAAGTAGTGGTACATTTATTTTCCTAACAAACATATATGCTAACAACATCCTCCCAACTTTATTTTCTCCAGGAAGACCCACTACGTTATGTGAAACTATGGGGAAAGCAGAAATTTGGCTAATGAGGACATATTGGGATTTTGAATTTCCTCGTCCCTACTTACCTAATTTTGAGTTTGTAGGAGGATTGCATTGTAAACCTGCCAAACCGTTACCTAAGGTATGTCTATTATAGTTCAGGATTTTGTGTACCATATGATAAAAATTCTGATTTCCCTCTAAACTTTATAGTCTAAATTATAGAGTGTTGTTGGGTATCTTCAGTTTGCTACTCAAAATCAATTTTCCAAGTCATAGGGGTCTCTTATGAGTGATACTACTTTTTTGTTTTGACTTTACTTTGATATTTAAGCTGAAGAATGAAGTGATTTAAGGAGCATGTTAAAAATATCAGTGGGTCTATAGTGTGGATAGGAGACTGAAGAAACAGGAAACTAAAGATTTGAAAGCCACTAAGGAGACTGCTGTAGTCTTCCTAACAAGCGTGATGGAATTATGAATAGGGTCACTTACTATGATTGTTTGAGTGGTAAAGAGGCTTTTGTGAGAACTGTTGAGTAGATTACACAGGATTTGGTGAGTAGAAGTAAATATTGCCAGAAGACATGGCTTCTTGGATAGCAGTGGCCTTTGCTGAAATAAGAAACAATTAATGAAACATTATTTTGAGATGACAATTATGAGTTCAAATTCACTTTTAGGAGCCAAAGGAATTTTGAGATGTCGATTTCTAGAAGTTATATGAGTAATACAAGGTTTCTGTCCTAGCAGAGCATTAGAAATAGATTGGGAGTCATCAACATAAAGTACAAGTCATAGAACTAAGAAACTCACATGTTGGATTGGTTATTTAAGACCATGATGTCAGTTTTTTGGTTGTTTGTTTTTTGAGTAAAAAAGGAAATTGTATAACACATTCCAAAGCTATAAAAGAATAAATATGGGCTGCCAGAAATATTAGAAGAAAACAATATTGGGAAACAAAGGAGAGTAATAGGTAAGCAGAGTAAAAACTATCTTGTATTTAACTATTTTTATCGATAGGGAGTGAGGAAACACTCATTTGCTTGAGTTGCAGGTAAACAAAATAATCTCTGTTGAAGGTTGCAGAAGAAATGGTGTTCCCAGTAGCGTTCTTGATTTCTGCATTGGCTAAGGTGCATATTTAACATTAAAATATCATTTCAGGATTGTGAATATGGTTTTCTTACCAACCAGTTACAGCCTCCGGAAAACTCTATTGAGTGTTATTACAGGAGAGAGTTAACCAATATCTAAATAAAGGTAGAGTAAGAGACATGACACATTCTGTGGCTTACTACATAACACCTTGACACACTATTTTGTTTATTACAATTTCATAAAACCAACTCAGATGTTTTACAAGAGGGAAGAATTTTTCCATTTCAAACCCAATTACTAATATAGATATTTGAGCAAATGAATACCAATCATGGCTTAAATCTCTGAAAAGGGGATTAAACCAGTCACTGAATACACAGAATAAAAAAGCAATGAAAGACAGTAAATTCAAGAATCCAAATCAGACAGGTAGCTATGTAAGTCTTAGTGAGTGAGTGAGTGAGTGTGTGTGTGTGTGTGTGTGTGTGTGTGTGTGTGTGTGTTGTATATATTTTTTATCCAATATATTTTTTATTCAATCATATGCTTAGGAAGATGAATCAAAATAGTAAAATACCAATTCCTATGACTTCAGAGATATTCTCCTAAGTTTAACTAAGCTAAAAATAGCAGTCTACTTTTGTGGCATCATCTTTCCCCCTGGTAATTTTACTAGGCTTATATTGAGACATGTCAGTGATCACAGGACAACCACCAATAATTGCAAAGAGAATGCATGATCATCTCTAGAGATTGACATTCACATAGATTACGATGTGCAAAACCCCAATCCAAGGCTGCAGTGTTCAACCTGAACAGCTGTAAGCAATGAATTTTATTTTGCAGAGAAATGTATATTTTACTTCTGTGCTAAGGATCAAATTAATGGCATGCAGTTAGTGTCACATTCTTGTGGAAAGAGAGTGAATCACTGTTTCATAAATTTATCATGATTATAGCAGGCATTTGACTGTGTTGTCACCTTTTAAACAAATTATTATATATCTCTTTTTAAAAAGCTCTATTTAGCCTTATAAATCAGGGAAAGAATATCAGACAAATATCCTAAACTCCTAACAGAAAGTTAAATGAAGTCATTAATAATTTATTGCTTGTAAACTGGTATGCTGAAAAATTTTAAAGCTTAGTTCTAAACCCCTTTTGGGGGGCTTTCCTCCAAGGAATATTTTTATGAGCTTGCAAACAACTCTATTTGTCATAAAATTAACCCTTTGAGTGCCAACCAATATACTAGGAACTATGCTAAAATTGCCAAGGCATTTTTGCTGATTTTACAGCAGTTTAGGAAAAAAATTATGAATCGCAAGTAAATGAAGTTACATATTCAAAAACTTAAGGAAACCTTTACTACATTGCCATATTTAGCAATATCATCATCACTAATAAAAGTAGACTTAGAACTGGACGCCATTTCGAAGCTTTGATAGCTCTCCAGGCACTTTTGGCGAAAGACAGGAGGAGCATGATTGCGCTCCCCGGCCTGTAGGGGTTAAGCTTTGGGAGTAACAGTTTCACATACCATGGGAAGATTTGCCTCTTATTATCATTTTATTTGGTACTAGGGGCCCAGTGCATGAATTGGTGCACCTTGAAAGGAACTGTGGGTCTTGAGGCTGCTGTGGGAAGGGGCAGGTCTCGGCCCATCCTCTAAGGCCCCGCCTTCCCCCTCCTTCTGTGGCCCCTGGTCTCCTGTCTGCCAGCAGCCCCACTCCCGCAACAGCTCCCATGTGCTGCCAGCCCTATTCCCACCCACTGATGGTGTGGAGTGATTGGGGCTGGTGCCAGCAGTGGGTGTGAGCAGGGCTGGCACCATCAGAGGGTGAGAGCGGCTGCTGCTGCCCTGATTGCCCTCAGTAGCAGGGGGAGGTGGAGAAGTACTGAGGGATGATAGGGGCCATCAGCCGCCATTCACACCCGCTGACAGTGCTGAGCGATCAGAGCCGGGGCAGGTGCAAGCAGCAGCTCTGGCGCTGGCAGCGAGTACAAGCACCCAGCAGGAGCATGGTGCAGGGAGCAAAGAATTTTCAGTAACCACCAGAGGCTTGCCCCAATGACAGCGACCGGCACCCCAGCTCACCTGCTCCACCATCCCGCTGTGGCTGACACCCACCATGTTCTGTGCTCTGCCACCTGCTGCTGATGCCGATATGTTTCGTGCGCCCCCTGGTGGTCAGCTCAGCTCAGGTCATAGCGACTGGTTGTTAGGTTGTTCAGTCATTCCACCATTTGGTCTATTTGAATATTAGCCTTTTATTATATAGGATAATGGTTTGACTCCATGCCTTTAGTTGTAATCACTCATTATATATTTAAGCCATCGTTTTCAGAAACAGTTTTTCTCTTAAAGAGACTAGATGGTTCTATGTGGTAGAATACCTAACCAGTCTATCAGTTTATCTGATGCTGTCCTTGACCCTGCCTATTTAGAAACTAGAGGCCCAGTGCACAAAATTCATGCACTGGTAGGGTCTCTAGCAGCTGCTGGCTGCTGGCTGGGTACTCCCTCCCTTCCCCCTGCCACCTGGCACCACAGCTTCCATCGCCGACCAGGGCCTCCCTCCCTTCCCCTGGCCAGCCCAACTCCCTGGTCAAACTCCCAGACAACTCTCAGTAGAGGGGACATTTTGCATACTGTGCTTTTATTATATAGGATATATGTGATTTTTTCCCCCTGTGGTCCTGTACTTTCATGATAGATAGAACTTTATCTCTACAGGAAATGGAAGAATTTGTCCAAAGTTCAGGTGAACATGGAGTTGTAGTGTTCTCTCTGGGGTCAATGGTCAAAAACCTCACAGAAGAAAAAGCCAATCTCATTGCCTCAGCCCTCGCTCAGATTCCACAGAAGGTCAGTACAACCTACGATCCGAGTTAGCAGCCACCTTGCCAATTGGAGAGAAAGTGTAGCAAACCAATAGTATTCTTTCCAGATGAAAGCTGAAACTCATTATACATTGAGCATAACTGACACCATCTTTAAATACAAATTTCTCAAAACATTAAAATGTTGTATTTGGGCCCATTTGATCATTTGCCTACTGAGCCTTTGTAATACTATGGAAATACAGTTCATCTTTTTGCAAAGTGATTTTCAAGGAAATACAATCAATGTTTGCAAACTACCCCTTTTGTAACTCTTATATATCACATAAAATGGACTACATGATTTTTAAATAACTCTACAGCCCTAAAATTCCTTAACTGTGCATTCTTACTTGTAAAATTAATGCACTTTCTTCCACAGGTCTTATGGAGATACAAAGGAAAGAAGCCAGCCACATTAGGAGCCAATACTCGGCTCTATGACTGGATACCCCAGAATGATCTTCTTGGTAAGATTGAGGGGGAAAAGCTGTACAGTTGGATGATGAACAAGTTAAGTAACTAAGAGCAGCTAAGTTCAATCAACATTTAATACTTTTAAAATTTCATTGCTTCTCAGCCTTTTGGCTAAGATCAAGTGTAATACTTTTAAAATTTCACATTTTGCTGCCAATTTTAAAGTGGATATTATGAAACAATAGGCCATTGAGAGATTCCTGCTTCCTCTGGTTCACAAAGCAGAACCTTCAGTTAAGACTCTCCTGAGTTCTCAAATTTCAACCACAGTTCAGATATCACCTCCTTGTAAAGTCATTCCAGACAATGCAGGAGTGAATTTGCCATTTCCTGAGATCACAGTTTTCTGAGATAGCAATAAACCCTGTGTTCAGCTTCTATAGAGAATACTGCCTTCTTCATTGCTTTATCCTGTAGTTTTTCTCCATCTCTCTCTGAAATTCTTCTAACATATAATGAAATTTTCATCTGCTTCTCACCCAACCCTCAAACAGGTCATCCAAAAGCAAAAGCTTTTATCACTCATGGTGGAACAAATGGGATCTATGAAGGTATTTATCATGGGGTCCCTATGGTGGGAGTTCCCATGTTTGCTGATCAGCATGATAACATTGCTCACATGAAGGCCAAAGGAGTGGCTGTGGAGGTGAACATAAACGAAATGACAAGTGAAGATTTGCATGATGCCTTGAAAACAGTCATTAATGAACCTTCGTAAGTACAATAGCCTTGAAAGACTTACCATTGGTTACATTACCCATCATATTCAAGAATGTCCAATGTACCATGTATTTGTAATTGGTATACTTTTAAATAATAACCATAAGATGACTAATATAAACACCATTTTATTATTTCATTCCCCAAATTGATGAAGTGATTTGCTAAAATCACAAAAATCCTCATTTCAAGTATCTATCAACATGTTTTTTTCACAATAATGTTAATGATAACAAAAATTCTCAGATATTTTGAGGCACCTGATGAGGAAATGAATCAGCAACCTTTAGGTACACAGGACAGCACCCAGACAACTGAACCACACTGGACAGGGCTCATCTGCTTACTTTTATAAATATATCTGCTTCTTCCTATATTACTCGTGGCCTGGTGCATGAAATTCATTCACAAAGGGAGGCGGTGTCCCTCAGCCAGGCCTGCACTCTCTCCAATTTGGGCCCCCTCGGGGGATGTCTGACTGTTGGTTTAGGCCAGATCTGCACCCCTCTGCTGAACTGATCGCCCCCAACTACCCCCCCCCCGCCAGCCCGATCACCCCAACTGCCCTCCCCTCTTGGCCTGATCACCCCTAACTGCTCTACCTCGGCCCTGCCACCATGGCTTTTACCGGAAGGATGTCCAGAAGGTCTCCCGGAAGGTCTCCCAGTCTAATTAGCATATTACCCTTTTATTAGTATAGATAAATGTTCAGTAAGTATAAAAATAGAAGTGATAATTTGCCAAATATTAATCATTCAAAAATAACTATCATTAACACTGAATGCATACCACCATTAGCATATGCATATATACAGCAAGGAGAGCTAGAGTAGTTAATAACTTTATAAATGTAGATTGTATAAATTTTTAAACAAAACTTTAAATTTTACCTATTTTACCTAAAAATAAATTAAAATGAATTTATTACATATATTTAACTGTAGATACCTACAGTTATCTCTTATTTTTTTCTCTAGAACATTTCATCAAAGTTAAGAATTAATATATGTATATAGTGTTGATTGTTTTTTTTTGTTTTATTTATTTTTTGTGTTAATTTTTAACTACATGTTTTAAATTTAGTCTCTCTCAGTTTAATTCACACTATAGAAGTAATCTCATCTCAGATATGTATTATTTAAAATTTTAAGTTGTCAATATTTTTGGTACTTACTTTCTTCACATTTATTTAGTCTATATATATATATAGACTAATTAACCATAACTTCGCTACCCTTCCCATTGGCTAATCAGTGAGATATGCAAATTAACTGCCAGCCAAGATGGCGGTTGATTTGCATATATTTGCTGGGAGCATAGCAAGCCAGGTGGGGAAATCAAGCTGGGCGGCGGAGGCGGAATGATCAACCTGGGCCTGGTGGCTGAGGGTGGCGGGAACAAACAACCTGGGCCGGGCGGCTGAGGGAGGCAGGAACAAACAAGCCGGACATCCCCCGAGGGATGCCAGACTGCGAGAGGGCACAGGCCCGCCTGAGGGACCCTCCCGGCCTCTAGTATATATATATATATTTAAGGGAATCAAATTCTCCATTGAATGAGAGATTCTTTATTCCAAAGTATTTTGCATTAGCTTTTAAATGAATATATTATATGGAATTTTCTTTCAATAAAGTTTCATGGATATTGAATTCTTTGAGATCATGTTTATCGATACTTGCTCACTGCCTTGATATGAAAATCACACCTATCTAAATATACTTAGCTATTACTTTCCTTTCTTCAGAACTACATAAATGTTACCCATGATCTTCTAGCTTTAAATGCTGACATGGGTTTTAAGGTCTAGCTGATAATTTTCTCTTTTTCTGTGTTTCTTTTCCGGCATGGAAAAATATCATTATTAATTCAGAAACTTAATTATGATATTTCTCTATAACTAATTTTCTATATTTTCCATAAGTTATAGTGATTCCTTTCAACACTATTAATATAGAATAACAAGAATTTAATTTTTCCTTTCAGAAATTAATTTTTGTATGTTATTTATTAGAATTACTTTTAATTCCATTTTTAATATCTATTTCGGGGACATCAGTCAGACATCCCTCTCACTATCCTGGACTGCTGACTCCTAATCATTCACATGCCTGCCTGCTTGGTTGCCCCCAACTGCCCCCCAAACTGTCCTGGTCGCCCCCAACTGCACCCCTCTGCCAGCCTGGTCACTCCCAACTGCTCCGCCCTGCTGACCTGGTCGCCCCTTATGGCCCCCCTGCTGGCCTGGTCGCCCCATGCAGCCTGCTGTTCAGTCGTTTGGTCATCCCTCACTAACACTCCTGACAGCCTGGTCACCCCCAACTGTACCCCCTGCCAGCCTGGTCACCCCCAACTGTACCTCCTGCCAGCCTGGTCACTCCCAACTGCCCCCTCTGCTGGCCTGGTCTCCCCTCACGGCCCCCCTGCCAGCCTGGTCGCCCCATGCAGCCTGCTGGTTCGGTCATTTGGTCGTCCCTCACTAACCCCCCTGCCAGCCTACTCGCCCCACGCAGCCTGTTCTTCAGTCATTTGGTCATTCCTCACTAACCCCCCTACCGGACTGGTCATAGGCAGCCATGTTTGTGAGGGTGTGACGGTCAATTTGCATATTACCTCTTTATTATATAGGACATTTGATCAAATATAAAACTATTTACATTGTGTCAAAAATCTATTTCTTCCATACCCTCCCCTTTACGACTCTTAAAATACCATTCCATCAGCAAAGTTTGTGTCACAGCAAGAATGAAATGTTTCCTCAACACATCTATGGATAACATGTTATGCAAAGTTACCATATATACTTACAACTTCAATGGAAACAAAGCTCTAATTTCTGTCTGTCTTTGTCTAACAGCTATAAAGAGAATGCTATGAGGTTATCAAGCATTCACCATGATCAACCTGTAAAGCCCTTGGATCGAGCTGTCTTCTGGATCGAGTTTGTCATGCGCCACAAAGGAGCCAAACACCTGCGGCCAGCTTCTCACAACCTCACCTGGGTCCAGTACCACTCTTTGGATGTGATTGGGTTCCTGCTGGCCTGTGTGGCAACTGTTATATTTTTGGTCACAAAATGTTGCTTATTTTCTTGTCAAAAATTTGGTAGAACAGGAAACAAGAAAAAGAGGGAATAGATCATTCTCAGGGTGGTACAGGTATGAGTGGGCAATCCTGTTCAGTTTAGCCACAATGACCTTTATGAAAATATATCATCTTCATCATGTTTTCAAAATTCCCATTTCTCTACCTTAGCCTACAGCTAAAGCCTAGAATTTGACAATACCATTAACTAGTGAGCATGTCCTGTTCTTCCTTTGTCTTTTGTCAGATGACTTTACCCTCTTCCTCTCACTTTCCTGACACAGAGATACTAATAGTTTTATGTAGATTCTATACACAATATTATCGTTATTTTTTAACCCTAAGTGGTATGCTGACTAACAATATGCTAAATCCTGGGGAACACACAAAATGAGAGCTAAGTTTGATGGATGTAGGGAACATGGAAGAATAAAATTCACAAATTCACCTAGAACATACAAATCAGAGAAACATCAAGGAAGATTAGTATGTTATAAGAATAGTATTGGTTTTTTTTCTGCTTTCCCAATGTTACTGGAGTCAGAGCATGAAATGATAATAACTGGGATGGCAAATCACACTAGGATAGGTCTACAAATTTCCACTGAACACATGCATAATCATGGCTTATATTCCACCTTTAGTCAATAAGTATATTGGGTACCTTCTAGTGCAAGGGCCTGCAAACAAAAGAGATCAATTAGTCATCTTTTCTCAAGGACAGAATGTAGTAATATGTTAAAGGTAAGCAGATCACTTTCAGAGGAAATAACAATACTAAATATAAATAATTTAATAATTTTATAAAATTTTTAATTAACAGTACAATTAATAAAGAAGTGAAATGTCAATTTATCATACTTAAAAATCACTAATGCTCATAATCTATCATCACTATAATGAAAGGTTTAGTTTTGTCAGCAAAACAAACATTTACTGGGAATGTATGATCATTATATTCTGTTTCAGTCTCTATCATCTACAAATTTAAAGTCTTCAATTAATTGTTATGTCAAGAAGATATTAGTAGATCTCCTTGACCAAAAATGTTATAGTAAATCTTTATCAATGCAAAAAACTAATTAAAGTCAAATGTTCATATTTTAATCAGCTTTGCATTCATATAACAAATAGATTAAGATTAAACTTTACCCTTTATAAACTCAATGACATGTCTAACTAAAGATTTAACTTCAGTTTTTGATATATAATTAAGGAGATAAATGATATCCACTGGCATACTGACAGTTTCGAAATACTTATTAATTTTAATATGATATATTAAAATTATTTCCAATTTTAAAATAACTGTATCATGAAAGCATATAAGTATTCTTGAATATGTTCATTACTGAAAATCCAAATAAATTCTACAATATTTTTGTGAAGGCTAACATTGCATTTATTATAAGTTGACATTTTTAAAGGGTGATTATTAATGTATTTTGACTTTTACACTTTTATTATGTTTTGAGAATAACTTTATTTTTGCTCTATGCCCAGTTTATTTTCTGCAATTAGAATGCAGTGAATAGCTAAGAACCAATGAGAAGAGGGCTGGTCATCAATAGTGTTGATCTCTACCCAAGTTCAGGCATCCATTTGGTTTCTCATATAGGCCGCCATTGCATAGGAGACTTGTGCTCAGTATCCACTGCTCACATGATTCCCCCTGCCCTTCTATGATTATCTGCAGATTTTTTTTTCTTTTCCTGAATAGCATTAGAAGCCAGATGCCAAAAATTTCTGGAGGATACCAACTTCACTAGGTAGTATAGCTTCAGCATATACTTAAAAAGAAGAAAAGTCTTAGAATGGACTTTTCCTTACCAGTCATTCATAAAACTGTTCAGATGAGGAAACTCTCATCCCTAACGAAGCAGAAACTATGTGCCATAGCCCAGAGTACTCTGCACAATTCTTAACATTCTCAGGACTCAGAGATGCTCAGGAGCCTGGATTTAATACTTTTACTTATTTTGTTCATATACATTCCATATGCCCCTTATCCTATCGCAGCATCTCCTCTGGTCAGGGTTCCCTATCTGAAAAGATTATCCAAATCTTCATCCATTCCAAATCAATGTGATAATATATAGCATCTGGATGATTTGTCACAGCTTTCCACTGAACTTTACTATTGGACATCAGAGTGTTAAGTAATAATCTACTGCATAGGGAGACATAATTTTGCCTACATTTTATCATGTGTCAGCGGCCCAGTTTATCCTTGGTTTTTTTAGATAAAACACCACAGCCAGGAAAGTAACACAGCAGAAGAGCTCAAAATAATCAAGTAGCATTCACAGGTTCTAATCTAAGTAAATCATGTCCATGTCTGTTGGTGGAATCATTCTTCTCTTACAAAAATGCAACTTCCAAACTGCCTGACTCCAAGTTGTAATAATAAAAAACAAAGTTGACTAAGGGGAATGGTGAAGCATACTTGTGCTGGGGGCCATTCCCTTCCAATTCCTTGAACTCTGAACCCATGTATTCAAACTAAAATACCAAAGGCATCATATATCAGGCCATGATTTCAAGCATACACTGCATCCTTTAATATAGCGCTTAAAATACAGAGGGGATTATCTCAGCTAAAAACCTGAACAGCTTTCATTAGCTAATGGGGAACTTGGTAAAATAAGCAAATTGTATGGATATTAGATTTTGTTCAAATCATTGGCTAACAATAAGTTTCCTGGTCATGTTGATATCAATACCATGATTTTTACTAAGACTTCATACCCATGGTTTATGAAGCTGGCAAAAGTACTACAAGGCAGTAGGGGGTATTGTTAGTTAAAATGTAACTAAGTCTATGGAGATAATGGATGCATCTCTATGATGGAAGGGGACTAATGCTATCTTCTCCCTTTTGGCTAGCTTGAACCCTAGGGAGTAGTGCCACATTGAGAAGGAGGTGGGGAGATATATTCTATTAACAAATTGAGGATATAACAGGTGAAGTAGCCAGATAAATCCTAGTGAGGTGAATTCAATGTTGTGCGTTCATGTATAGTTTTCATCCCATTGTACATTGTTCAATGGGATAAGTTTTATGACCAAATTCCGGAAGGAGGAAAAAACAGTGTCATATACAGGACTACTCATCCAGAGCACCTTATTATTAAGAAGGTTGTCTGCAGCACTTGGATTCTGAAGAAAATTCGAATTGGATACTAAGATCTTCATTATGCAAATTTCAAAAAAGGTTTATCTATATAATTCTACTCTAGATTTTCTTGCCTTTAATCTTGCCTCTAATTCTTCCCAAGTCTTTGACCAACCAATTAATCCATTAGTCACTGCCCACGAGTCTGTAGATTTGTAAAGCAAGCCATTCTACTTATAATTCTGTCAATATTTATTTTCTACAGTTTAAGGTGGTAATAGCTTCATTTATATAAAATTAGATAACTTCCAAATGAATGAAAGACTTCATTTTTCTTGACTTTTATTTTTGGTAATGCTTTTTAGTTAAAATCAATTATTTTCTAATAGCAATATAACAACATCTGCATCCTTTGTTAAGTACATACATAATGTATGGTGTCAGATGGGCACTAGAATTATAGGATGATCACGTCATAAATTCTATAAATGTTTAATCACTATTTTGTAAATCTTTGATATACTGTATGTTAAAAGTCTCCTCTTCAGATAGTCTTCAGTTAGTAATTCAGGGTGGTTGTTTTCCAATTTAGTGTTATTTCCAATTTCCACTTTGGTTCTGAGAGGAAGTGTGAGAAAGATTCACCTACTCCACCACCATCTTGAAAAACCCATATTTACTATTTTTAATCCATGTTTCAGGCTATAATAGTCTCATGTTTAAGTTATCAATACACATTTTTAATCAGTTTCCTGTACTTTAAACTCTTGCTTTTGTATGTATTCTATGTTTAGCTGCCAGAATTATTTACTAAAGGGAAAATTTGATCTTGTGATTTCCCTTCCTTAAAATTTGAGTAAATAACTTTTGCCTATAAATTAAAATTGAAACCATTTTACACTACCTATTTTCTCCTATTTCAATCTAACTTTCTTCTATAAACTACTTCCCACAACTTTCTCTGTGATCCATACCCACTGGAATGTTTTCCACATACACATGAACTTTTCTCATCCTCTCTTCATTGTGAAATCTGTCCTTTTGCCACACTCTGCCTAGATCCTACCAAGGCTTTCATCTCACCTCAAATGTTATCTATTTTACTACAGTTGTTTCCAATTATTCCATAAAGGATTATGTTTTCTCTCTGGAATTCTGAACACCCTGTACTAATCATAAGAGTATTATCAAAATATTCCCCATAGGTATCCAAGCAAATTATTTGCTATTTCACATAGGGAAAATGATGTGGGATATGTTTTCACCTAAATCACTTGCCACCTTCAAACTCAGAGTGGAATGGGTGTTGGTGTATATGTGTGTGTGTGTGTGTGTGTGTGTGTGAGAGAGAGAGAGAGAGAGAGAGAGAGAGAGAGAGAGAGAGAGAGAAATATTAACTTTAGGCGGTTCCTATTTGTTATTTTCCTTATTTAAAATCTTGAATTTGAAATTTTTTCCCAGATATCTTTTTTATTTCTGTTTTATTCTCCCAATAAACATTAACCTTGCATATAATGCAAAAACGTTTTCTTTTAAAGTTAAATTTTAATTTATTATGTGTTTATAGTATATTTGGTCTCTGCACTAGGCAGAAACACCCTAAAACCTCTGCAGAGCAGTGTGTGATGGAGCTGCTGTCATGTTATCCAAGAAGTGGGCTTTGGCGGTTCTGCTGCTGCAGCTCTGTAGTGCTGGCTGTGGGTTCTGTGGAAAGGTTCTGGTATGGCCTGTTGACATGAGCCATTGGCTTACTATAAAGACCATTCTAGAGGAACTCACAAAGAAAGGACATGAGGTAACCGTGTTGACTTTTCCACATACTAAGCTCATTGACTACAGGAAACCTTTCCCCCTGAACTTCGAGGTGTTACATCCAGAATATCCGAAAGAATTAGCAGAGAAAGCACAAGACAAATTTCTGGATGTAATTTTGAATGACTTGTGAAACTTAACA